GACCAGAAGTTCTTTCTTTCTTTTTTCCCTTTTTTTTGGACTTAAATCATTTTTTATTTTTTAATTACAGTTGACATGCAATAGTATATTTGTTTCAGGTGTATAAGCCAGTGATTAGACATTATATAACTTACTAAGTCATCATCCTAACAAAACCCATACCTATCTGACACCATACATAATTATTACAATATTATTTACTAAATTCCCTGTATTGTACTTTACATCTCCATTATTATTCTGTAACTAATAATTTGTATTTCTTAATCCCTTTGCCTTTTTCAGCCATCCCCCCAACCATCCTCCCATTTTAAAGAAGACCCTTTCACATTTCAGTAATGTAGGTTTCATGGTGCTAAACTCCTTGAGCTTTTTCTTCTCTGGATGCTCTTTATCTCTTCTTCAATTCTAAGTGATAGTCTTGCTGAGTAGAGTAACCCTGGTTGTAGGTTCTTGCTGTTAATCACTTTGAATATTTCTTGCCAATCCCTTCTAAGCCTACCAAGTTTCTGTTGTGAAATCAGATCGCATTCTTATACGAGCTTCCTTGTAGGTGAATAACTGCGTTTCTCATGCTGCTTTTAAGAGTCTTTCTTTGTCTTTAACCGTTGGCATTTTAATTATGATTAAATAGTTTGGAATTCTCTGTGCTTCCTAGATTTATAGCTCTGTTTCTTCACCAGGTTATGGAATTTTTCCGTTATCATTTTTTCACATAAGTTTTCAATTCCTTGTTTTCTCTCTTCTCCTTCTGGCAACCCCATGATGTGAATGTTGGTACTGTTGAAGTTGTCACAGAGGCTCTTTATACTATCCTCATTTTTTTTAAATTTTGTTTTCTTTTTGCTGTTCTGATTGGGTGTGTTTTTGCTTCCTTATCCTCCAAGTCTCTGATTTGGTCTGCTTCATCTTCTCACTGTTGGTTCCTGGTAATGTATTCTTTTTAAAAAAATATTTACTTACTGATTTGAGAGAGACAGACAGACAGACACAAAGGTAGAGAGAGACAGAAACATAGATTTGTTGCTCTGCTTACTTATGCATTTGTTGATTGCTTCTTGTATGTGCCCTGACTGGGGATTGAACCAGCAACCTTGGCAAATGGGGACAACACTCCAGCCATCTGAGCTACCTTGCCAGGGCCTATCCTTCATTTCAGTTCATTTATTCTTCATTTCTGACTGGTTCTTTTTTATGTTTTCTAGTTTTGTTTTTATGTTTTCAATCTCTTAACTTACTAAGTTTATTCTTTCCCTATGTTCATTGAGCATCTTATAACCAGTGTTTTGAACTCTATATCTAGTAGATTGCTTGTCTCCATTTTGGTTAGGTTTTTTTTTTTAGTTTTGTTCTGTTCATTCATTTGAGACATGTTTCCTTGTCTCCTCATTTTGGCATCCTTCCGGTGTTTGTTTCTATGTATTAGGTAGAGCTGCTATGCCCCCAGGCTTGGGAGAGTGGCCTTATGTAGTATGTGTCCTGTAGGGTCCAGTGGCACAGGCTCCCCGTTCTCCTGAGCGAGCACTACAGGTATGCCCCACCCTGTGTGGGCCATGTACACCCTCCTATTGTAGTTGAGCCTTGATTGCTGTTGGTACATCAGTGGGAGGGATTTACCCCCAGGTCGATGGGCTGCAAGGAGTGGCTGCAGCCACTGTGGGGGATCAGCTATGAAGCACGAGCCAACATAGGCTGTTCATATACAAAAGCCACTGGAAACAGCCTGGGTGGGTGCACAAGTTAGGTGGGGCGGGGTCTCAGAGGGTCACCAGGCCGAGGAAAACAGGGTTAGCCATGGTAATGGGGACTCATGTATGGCACCTACCTGCTGGCTCTGTTTGGGAAGGGCTCAGAAAAAGACAATGGCTTCTGCCCGCATTTCTGTCGGAGAAAGCTGCCCCTCCAATTCTCTCTGATGCCAGACATTTCAGTTCTTCCCCATATGTCTCTGGTACTTTTTGAGATGCTGCCTAGTGCTGGAGCTCAAAACAGGTGAATCTGAGTAAGTCTGAGTGTGGGCCCTGTGAGAGGAATGCCTGGGACTCTAGAACCCCTCTGTCTCACTCAGCCATAATCCCTACTGGTTTTTACAGCCAGAAGTTATGGGGACTTCTTTTCATGGCACTGAAACCCTGGGCTGGGGGGTTCTGTTGTGAGGCTGGACCCCTCTCTCCTCAGGGGGAACCTCCACAGCTGAGGTATTTTCATCCACCACATGTGGGTGTGGGATGAGCCTGTTTTGAGTCTCTGTCCCTATTACCAGTCTCAGTGAGGCTTCTTTATGTCCTTAGTTGTAAGACTTCCATTCAGCTGCATTTCAGGCAGTTCTGAATGATGGTTGTTCTATAGTTTAGTTGTAATTTTCATGAGGTTGTGGGAGGATGCAGGTTTACCTATGTTGCCATCTTGACCAGAAGCCCTAACAGCCTTTTTTCTCAATATGTTGAATATATAGTCTGACTCCTGGCTAGGCAGGTTTTTGTTGAATCACCCTTGTATGTGGTGAGCCACTGTTTTCTTGCTGCTTTCAAAATTCTTTCTTTGACTTTTGACAATTTAATTGAATATGCTTGGTGTAGCCCCTCTTTGGTTCCACCTTTTTGTGCCTCATCCATTTGGATGTCCATTTCTCCTAACAGGCTTGGGGAGTTTTTGACTGTCATTGTTTTACATCGACTTTCTGCCCCCTTTTCTGTCTCTTTTCCCTCTGGGATTCCCATTATGTTTATTTGTTTCTTTTGATGATATCCCATAAGTCCTGTAGGTTTTCTTCACTCTTTCACTCTTTTTTCTTTTTTGTTCCTCTAACTGGATAATTTCAAATAATTTATCTTCTAGTTCACTAATTCTTCTGCTTGTTCCAGTTAGTTGTTGAAGCTCTCTATTTGAATCTTGAGTTCAGTCATTGTATTCTATAGCTTGAGGATTTCTGGATTTTTTTAAAAACTTGTGTCTGATGATTTCTATTTTCTTATTCAATTTCTCATTTTATTCATGCATTGTTTTCCTAACTTGGTTTAGTTGTCTGTGTGTTCTTGTAGTTCCCTAAGCTTCTTTAAGAGGTTTATTCTGAATTCCTGGTCACATTGTCTATAGATCTCCATTTCTTTAGTGTCATTTATTGGAGCTTTATTAGTTTCCTTTGGTGTTGTCATGTATACTTGGATCTTTATGAGCCTTAATTCCTTGCATTGATATCTGCACATATAAGTAAGTGGTCTTCTCTTCCAGACTTTACAGGTTTGTTTCAGCAGTGAAAGACCTTCATCATTCAGCTCAGCTTGTGTCCTGGCTGGATAGCCAGTGGTGTCCATGGCCTGGTAGAATTTCTTGTCAGGGTCTCTAGTTGGATGGGGCCACTATGTCTGCTTTGAGGTTGGGGAATTGGCCGCTGATGGCTGGGCTCCATGTTTAAGCAGGGCCACTGGATGGGCTTCTTGACCGGTGGGGATGCTACCTCTGCTCTGTGATCAGGTGGCACACAGATCACCTTCAAGTTCGGCAGGTCTGCAGGTTGCCTTTGTGATCAGATAGGCTAGTAGGCCGCTGGCTATGCTCCACCATTGAGCAAGGTTGCTGGCTGGGCTGAGCTCTCAGTCGTGTCTCCAGCAGTTGGGTGGGGCCACTGACTGGGCTCCATACTGGCTGAGGGAGGCCTCAAGCTGTTTTGCATTTGGGCTGGGATCTAGGCTGGGCTCTAAGGCTGCTTAGTGTCACTGTTCAGGCTCCCTAGTTATGCGGGGCCAGAGGCCATGCTCAACAGTTGGACAGGACTGCTGGTCAGGGTTCCTGGGTGGTGGGGACTGGAGGCTCTGCTCAGTGGTTGAGCATCCCTGCCTGTGTGGGGCAATAGAATGAGCTCTCTAGCTGGCTTCAGCCCATTAACTGGGGATGCAGAGCAGGCAGCATTGCGGACTGAGGTCCCTAGCCAGACAGGGCTACCAGCTTGGCTCTGCAGGAGAGCTGTCACTGACTGGGCGCTCTGCTCATGCGCTGCTGCAAGCAGGAGTGTGGTCCACCAAGATCTGCATGCTTTTTAAGATACAATTGTCTAACCACTCTGCTGCACATCTGAAACTAATACAAAACAATATTGAAGGTAAACTGTAATTGATAAATAAAATTAAAAGATTTGAGTTCTGGTTGCTGAGAGCCCTGCCCCCTACTCCTTCTCTGATTCCCAGTGGTGCCTGTGATGCAAGTCCCAAGCAGCCTCCCAAGAAGCATCCTACAGTCCTGGGGGAGTGGATGTCCACCTTGTGCTCTTCTTTCCTCACTGGGGAAACTGCATTGGGACCCTCTCGGTGTGGCCCTGTGCAGCTTGGGGGAGGGGTGATTTAGTCAGAGTGTTACTCTTGCTCTTAGCCTTCAAAGGCAGACCTCTGCTTCTGATCCAGGAGGGTGTTTCAGCCCCCCCTCTGGGTTCTGAGATTTTAACAGAGGCGCCTTGCCTATAGATAGCTGCTAGCCGGTCATTTTGTAAGAGGGACTGAACTTGGTACTAACCTATGTTGCCATCTTGATGTTGTCACTGAAATCAAGACTCTAGTGTTGGAAAAAATCAGCCTTGTGGAGTCCACATAGAGCTTCCCCATCATCAGAACTCATTGTCCCTTTCTGTTCTTCTGCCTCTTTTGTGACTCCTCATCAGGATGGCCCTTTATCCTGCTTCGATGTGGTAAAGACTATTGGGGGATGAAGAAACATTGATTGCAAGACCACTTACTCCCACCCCATGCTTCCACCTGGCCCCAGGTTTCACGTGTGCGTTCACTGGCCAGGTCCTGCGCGCCACCTTTCTTACAGGTTGCCACATCCTGCAATGTGGGCCAGGAGAATAGGATCAGTTTCGGTGCCTGTGTGGTGGTAAAGCCTTGAGCCTACGTTGACATCAGCTGTGGTGGCTCCCTGTGGGGAGGGTGGGCTCTTCAGTTATGCAGGGAAGTTTTGCATAAATCAGTTGTTACTTTGTAATTGAAAACACATTTTGCTCATTTTAGGTATAATTAAAGAATCTGGTGCGAAGCACAAGGGATTGATTGAAATACCCAACCTTTCTGAAGAAAATGAAGTAGATGACACTGAGGTGAGGTATCTGATGATGTTTCATTTCCCCCTTCTTTCTTTTTAAAATCAAGCTTCTGCTGTAGATGCTGAAGATTTGAAAAACTGTTCATCAGACTGTGTGCTTCATGTGCCATAGTTCTAGGGAACTGTGGCAGCTCGTTTGCTGAGGACTGCTCACTGTGGGAGCTGCACAGTGGCGTAGGAAGGGTAAGCTGAGGGAGCCCGAGACGGCCCCACGGACCGGGAGTGGGGTCTGGGCCCGCGACTGCGTCCTTGGTGGCCTCCTTACCTGTGGAACGGGGTTGGTTCATCTTTCAGGGGTGTTACCAGATAAATGTGATAGTGTATGTACTGTAAGGGGATTGAGCAGCACACATTTCAGTGATGTTTCTCCTCCCCTGCGTCTTTGCTGTTTCCCTTTAATAGTGAAAAGTCTCAGCTTTTAGCTGTGATCTCCTTTGAATATATCATATATGTGTATATATTTTTTGTAAACTAGTTAGTATGTATTGCTTTTGACCGCCTGGCTCTCCTAGTTCCTGGGATGTAGAGTCTTTGTACCCCCTAACTGGTTTTCAGTTAGTGCCTTCTGGAAGCAGAGCTTGGTTCTGGGGACGGAGTTTGTACAGTAGCTATGTTTTCGAAACCAAATAGTTTTTCACAAAAGGTCTTTTTTGATTAGTGAAATTATTTAATGTCAAGGCTTTCAAAGATATAAAAACTAAATCATACTGAGGAACATGTCCATGTAAAGGTTATAAAACACCAGAAAAGTGGAGCTGTCTCAGATATATCTTCACACAGGTGGCTGCTATCTATTCTCAAGGGCTGTGATTTCACTTTGCGATATTCCAATCCATCAGCTGAGAAGTTTTCATCATCATGATAAACTGGTCTTTGAGATTCAATCCTTGGTAGCATTATAGAACAGACTCTTTAGATGGTACCTGGGACAAGCCCAGATCAGCTGAATCACAGGGACACTGAATGATTTCTAACCAACTCCTCCTTTCATTCTGAGAATAAAGACCACAGAGGCATCCCCAGAGCATTTGGATCTTTCCCTCACCCTGTCTCCTCCCATTTCCCTCCCCTCTCGCCCTATCCTCCCTTTTCTTACTTCCCTTCCTGCTCCTTTTTTCTCTCCCTTTCCCAACTCTCCTCCCTGCCAAAAATGCGTAGCTCAAGGCCATGTTATGTGGGAACCTGTTTTTCCTAATTACACTGGCTTTGGGGTTCTAGACCAGCGCTGTTCAATAGAAATATAATGTGAGCCAAATAGGGAATTTAATATTTTGTAGCAGCCATATTTTTAAAAAAGTTAAAAGAAACAGGTGAAATTAATTTTAATGTTTTTATTTAACCCAATATATAAAAATACCATTTTAACATGTAATTAATATCAAAATTTTAGATTTTTACATTTTTTTTTTTTTTTTACTAAGTCCTTCACGTTTGATGTGTATTGCTTTACACTTATAGCACATCGCAAATCAGACCAGCCACATTTCGAGTGCTCAGTAGCCACATGGGGCAAGTGGCTACCATACTGGACAGCGCATTTCTAGACCCTGATAAAAGCCGTGGACTACATCATCAATATAATACATAGACATATAAAATTTTGTATGCAAATTAAGGGGCTCACATTCTTAGAAGTCCATTCAAGATTTGGCCAACCCAGTCAATGGAGCCTTGATTTAAAAACCTTTATACCTTCTCAAACTATAGGAAGAATCTGGTCACAGCTTTGCTATAGCCACTTCTTCCCTTTCCCTCGCAGTCACAGTTCTCCTCTCACCCATGTGTCCCAATGTTGGAAGAATGCATCAAACTAGGTTTTTCTTAGGTGTGTATTTTTCTGATTTGTAGGTGAACGTGAGTAAAAAGAAAGGAGATGGGGATATACTGAAGGATCTTATGAAAACTGCAGGCACCGCCAAGGTCAGGGAGGCCCTTGGAGATTACCTGAAGGCACTAAAGACGGGTAAAGAAGGCGTCCCTTGTCACCCTGGGGGTCCCTTTTCTATTTACCCAAGTTATGCTCTGCACTGTGGTCTGGATTCGCAGGTTAGGCTGGTATCTCAGGCTCCAGAAACTAACTCTTTATGCTGCAGGATAAACTGTAGTGTGGATGGTGAGAGATAGTCATGAGAAAGGCCATAATTAGTGATTATCAGTATTGTACACAGCGTGAACTATTTTGCCTAGAGAATTGCTAATAGTTTTTGGAATGATAATTATTTCATCAGTTGTTTATATAATTATTTGTTTAATGTCTGTCTTCCCTGCTAGACCATAAGCTCCCTGAGGGCATGGAAGGTGTGTCTTGTTCACTGCTGTATCTCCAGCATCTAGCACAATGCCTGGCACATAGTAGGTGCTTAATAAATCTTTGTTGAATGAATGAATGAATGAAAGTGACTCTAGGTAATACAGGTGTAGGTGAGGTTTACCTAGATAATCCCAACACTGTGTTGAAATAGATTATTTATTGTTTTCTTACCTAGAGAAGTTACTTGCCAGGCAAGATGGCCAACAGGGTCTGTATGTCTGCACATCATCCTTGGATTCTGCTATGTGTCTAGGTGTTGGCATAGATGGATTTGAGGTTGCCACTTCTCCCTGGAGACCACAAACACACATGGCTGGCCCACAGGTGTGAATACAGTGAGGCCGCTATTTGTGAGGCAGTGGTGAAACAGTGAGCAAATGTCTGGTTTTGACAGTAAATGAAGGCCATTAAGCTATTAGTAGTGAACTGAGCTTTTTGGAAAAGAACATTTGAAAGTTTTGCTAATTTATCAAGAACCAGATATAAGGCATTTGAAGAAATGAAATAAAAGGCTTTTTTTTTTTGTAACTCATTAGTTTCATATATATAAAAACATGAAATGGGGTTGAAATTGTCAAAACGGCAGGAATTCTTCTCATACATATCAAGTTTTTTATTTTCCTATATGCTGTTTTGGGTTTCCTGCCTGTTTGTGCTGAAAAGTAGTTCTTTATTAAAACCATTTCCCATGTTTTTTTTTTAGAATTTACAATGGGAATGATTTTACCAACAAAAGCTACAGCAACACAGGAACTGACTATTAAAAGGAAACTGAGTGAGAATACCTTGCAGGTATGATCTCTGGTGACCAATATGTAGATAAGGGGAAAGGAAGTGCTTAGTGTGAATACTTCAAAGTTCTCAACAGCCTTTCAATGATGGACTGAAAGAATATCGAGGGGGGCCAGTTAATCTACCCTTGCATCCTCTGCCATTTTTGGGGGGAAGTGGTAAGACTTGCATCTTTGATGGAAGGGAACGTATAAATGCCTTTTTGGGGGATAAACTCAATTTTGTTTAAGACGGTTGTAAAGGCACTGTTCTTTGATAGGCAACAGGTTATAAAACCAGGTGACTTTGAGGTTCACATACCACAATGAACCACCCTCCTCTTCCAACTTTTGGATTGGGAGGTTTTCGATCCTGTTCTTGGAATCTGGTGGTGTAAAAATTGACACTCTTGGCCTTTATGTGCTGTTGTCCTTCATCTGCTTATCTTCATGCCCTCTGGTCCATATTTACATGTCCAAATAGGATCTGGAGTGTTAAGCTCTGTTCTACTTCCAGGCTGTGATTTAAGAGCTCATAGGAATAACGAGCTCTGTTTCCGAAGGCCAAGACCGGTGGTGCTAAAAGGCCTTTTCATGCTATTTCCGTGTTTCTGGAATGGGTAGTGTGGCATTTGGGATATGTTAGTGATTTATTAAGAATGAAAGACTGGATTTTTAAATCTAAGCAGCTTTATCTCTTGGCATGCTAATTATTCTTTGGAACCTTGAGACTCAGGTACCCCTGGGAGTGAGGATCCCGACGGTGGCGCTGCACATGACAGAACTGTTTGACACAGCTGTGGAGCGGCTGTACCGCATCTTCACTGTGAAAGATGTAAGTAACTTCTCAAGCTAGGATCTTAAATGCCGACACTGGGAGGACGTGTGCCACTAAGACCTGGAGCTAGTCTTTTGTTTCCCTTATGTTCTGGTTTTCTGATTTAAGGGATCTAGAATTGTAGGGATAGAAGTCTGTAGGGTAGCTTGTGAATATTTGATAGGGGGAAAGATGGGCATTTTGGAGGGACTATATTAACAATTAGGGGATACATTCATTGACTTCATTTTGTCCCTCTGCAAGGGAGAGAGAGAGAAAGCCAGAACTAATTACAAGCTATGTATTCAGGACTTAAAAACTCATAGTAACTGTCATATGCTGAAATAACATTACTATGTTTTTCTTGATTAGTTGGTGCAAGAATTCTCTAAATCTCCTGCCATAATAGAAGCTGAAAAGGGAGGGAAATTCCAAATGTTTGATGGGAACATCACTGGTGAATATATAGAACTGGTAAGTAATCTTATAGTTAAAGAAAAGCAAGCTAGGGACTGACTCTTGTTTCTCTTATTATTGCTTTTTAAATTAGTGTTTTTAATTTGCTTTGCATTTTTATCTGAGCTCGCAGAAACTTGAGAGCTTTATATAGTTGGTAACATAAAATGAGAGCAAATAAAAATGTTATATATAATGAAAAAGTTGAAGCCTTAGTTTCACAGTATTTGTGCAAATGCTTATGATTTCAGAACAACATGATTCTCCCAACTCTTTGCATAAAACGTTCAGCTCTCTGCCACCTGAATCACTGGGGTCTGCATTGCCAGATGTCAGGTGACTCACCCTTGATATCAGTTCTGTTTTGGTTACCCATGATATTATACTTTTTGTCCTTGATGTTAACTGCTGTTATGGACATTTGGCACTAGGGACAATGAAATCTCAATAGTGCAGGCATTTAAACTGGAAGATGGACCTGTATATTGTTCACCGATTACTGTTAGTACATAGGGATTTTTCTGTATAGTAATGTAGGAAATTTTAGAAGATGTTTTCAGTAGAATTTCCTCTTTGTTTTCAGTTAACAAATGAAAAGATTGTCATGAAATGGAGATGTAGGAACTGGCCAGAAGGTATGTTATTAGTATCGCTTGTTGTAAGAGTCCACAAACAAGCTGTTTTCCCTTATGAAAAGCAGGTAGTTTTACTTAAAAGTTTTTCTCTTCATAATATTCCCTGTTTTTCTTCCAGAACACTATGCAACAGTTATACTGAATTTTGTGCCTACTCTAGGGCAAACGGAATTACAATTGGACTGTAAAGGAGTTCCTGTCTGTAAAGAAGAGAATGTGAAATTCTGTTGGCAGAAGCAGCATTTTGAAGAAATAAAAGGTTTACTGCAGCTGACTACCCTAAATGGCTGAATTAGATTTTATAAGGGCATTATTTTGTAAGCAGAAAAAGTTGTCATTACTTCTTCCCTATTTCTTTTCAGAAAGGAAACAAAACTCTTAATTTATAGTGGATGAAATCCATGAACTTTTACACAATTTAAAGCATTGTTTGAATCTTTACTGTGATTAGACTCTGCATTGAATTAGAAGCAGCAAGCAACCTGAAATTAAGAATTTAACCTTACCTCCCATAGATGCTCCTCTGGGAAAAAGACTGAATCCATGAGTATAGATAGTTGAAGTTTCCCAACCTTAAGCTTGTCCTTGTAGCAAGCTTACTTTCAGCTGTAGTTTTAGTTCAGGAAGACAAAAATAAGTGGCATGTTGATATCATTCCTTTATTTACTTCAGGGTTTGTAAGGTGGGTAGCTCTTAGGTAGTGAAACAGTGGCATGTTGCACTCAGAAGCATGTTCAAGTGAGGACGAGTTGGTTGTACTGTTAACACTTCTCCCTGCAGCAGTTAAGCATTTTTAGGGTGGAGAGGATTGAAAAGTCTATGGGAATAAGTTACGTTTTGGACTGCTACTAACACTTTTGATGAAATAGAATATATTGGGCAAGTGCTTCCCCCATTCACAGTTTTCTCATTACTTTCATCTGTGAAGACTGAAGCAACGTATGTAAACAAATGAAAAGTCATCACAATCAGTTTAATTAAGTGCACAGAATAGCAATCAGTCATGTCAATAAAAATAAAACAATTATTTTTACATCAAGTGTGCTTTATTTCCTCCACAGGTATTCTGTTAAATAAAGCACCATTTATATACTGCCAGGCCACAGCTAAAGAGGATTCTTTACAGAATCAAATTTCTTGTGGTTGTTCCGTATACAAGTAAACTTAATTTTGATAATAAGAACCACAGCGATTGGAGGCAATCTGCCTCTATTATAAGGTACAAAACTGGCACAGAGGACACCATATTATACACAGTAAAAATGCTGTAAGTTTAAATTACATTGTACAGGGCCAGGGGACCCTGTTCCTCCCAGACAGCCATATTAAATGAAAGCCACTACAGTGAACTCTTAATTACATAAAACATATCCATTATCTGATTGCCCTTTAGAAAGTATACTGAAGATGCAAATTTTTTTCATCTGGAGTTCTGCCTGACCAGGAATTAAGCCTATAAATCTATCTTGCCATTCAAGCAGAGAGCACTGGACTAACTGAAGCACAAAAACAGAAATAAGCAAAACTTATACAAACAGCATTGGGGGGCGGGGGCGGCCTTAAAAGTAGACATGCGACACCTCATGTCAAGAAGCAGCCTGGTTTCCTTTGCCAGATATCCTTGTGACCACGTGGATTGTGGACTCGATGGTTCTACACAGCGTATCTAAAATGTCGTGCTGCTGCATGTGACTGAAGAGTCCTCTGGAATGGCCACAACTGAGTGATACAGCAGCCTCAGGGTCCTGGGAGGGCAAAGCTTGACCATCACAGCTTCTCAAGTCAGCTAAGTCAGACAGAACAGCAGAAATAGAAGTAGAAGGGAACTCGGATTCTTCCTCAGCTAAGTTAGAATCCTTGGAACAGTGGAGGTCTTTAAATTCTTTACAATCTTCAAATCTACTACTGTTGGACTGTTCTTCTGCATGCTGTGACCTGATATTTGACGTGTCTTCTGAAAACGAAGATGGAACTTCCATTCGGTATTCTTTAACAGAACTATTTTCAGGGGAAGGAAGATCTTGCTCAGTTCCTGGATCGATAATTGAGGAGTCTCTTGTCTCATTGTCTGAAGTGCTAGTTGGGGTCAGGACCTCCCTGGTTTCTGTTTTCGTGTCGCTGATGCAGCTGTCTACAGTGTGTTCCTCATCACTGCTAACACGCCTTCTTTTAACCGGGGTTGCCCCTTCATCATCTGTGAAGACATCAAAACAAACTTCTGTGAAAGGAGTCACTAAGCTCACACTAAGAGTGGCAGTGTTTGTGGGAAATTTCCTCTTTAGCACTTATATTTAAGAGGCCCAAGTGAACACAGAGCTACTATACAGTCAGTTATACCGAGTGTATTCCCTTCTCCCCCCAAAGGCAATTCTGGTCCATAAAGCTAACCTTTAGTTTTTCTTTCTTTGGCTTCTTGCTCTTGGAGTGAGTTTCTCTGCTGCAGACAAGTCCTACATTTGCTTAAAAGCTCTTGCAGAGTTGGAATTAGAGCTGGGTTTAATTGTTTGGGAGTGTGTACCGACAGGAGCAAAGCAAGTGCCCGCAGGTCCTATAAAAACCCAGACATGAACATTTCAAATTCTATAGCCACATCTGACACACTTTGTTTACAGTTCAATGTACATACTTACCTTCCCAGGAATTTACCCTGACTTTATTTCTTTTAATCCTCACTCGAGAATGTGTTTATTGATTTTAGAGAGAAACCAGAGGTGGGGTGGGGGAGAGAGAAACATTCATGTGAGAGAGAAGCATGATTAGTTGCCTTCTGTACACATGCCCCAACTGGGGATAGAACCCATAACCTAGGTATAAGCCCTGACTGGGATTGAACCTGTAACCTTTTGGTGTATGGGATGATGCTCCAACCAACTGAACCACCTGGCCGGGGTTTAATAATTTATTGTTTGCTTGCTTTTTTTTTTTTGAGAGAGAAACATCAACTTGTTCCACTTATTTATGAATTCATGGGTTGCTTCTATGTGCCCTGACTGGGAACTGAACCCACAACCTTGGTGTATGGGGATAGTACTAACCGACTAAGCTACCTGGCCAGGGATTCTCTGGCTTTTTTGCAAGAATGCTGAAACTAGAAAGCCAATGTTATGATGCAATATCTCACTGGTTCTAAGTCACTTACACCTTATTTACTACACCATTAAAATAAGTCAGACTGAAAACTCAGATAGTGTGTTTCAAAAATGGGGCATGGGGAGGGGATCGATAATAGAACTCACATAGGAACTTGGAAAAAACAAACCCTGAACGACCCATGAGAAATTTAGGCTTTATTAATCTAGAAATCAGTTTCTTAAATATGCTAATTTGGGGTAGAGGTGGAAAACAAAGGCCTTCCTCAGTCCTCTGTTATCTGTTCTGGCACCTAAATCTTTTATTATGGGAAGGCTGCTGCTGGACAAGTGCCAGCGTGCAACTCCAGGTTCCACTATTCTATCACATGGCTATCCTGGGAGTCTATATGAGGCAACCTACTAATTCCCTAATTTTAACTGGCTTTATAATAGGCAGATCATTAATCTGATTGTTTAGTTAACTCATGAGCCATGGGCAATAACAGAAACATCAAAAGTAATTGTTCCAAAAAATGTAAACAAGTAGAGATAAAGGAAATGTCTTTTAGTGACATTTTCCGTATCTGTGTCATACTGCCATTAATGACATTAGCTCATGGCTATATATACAAAAGGTAGAGCAGTTTTAAAAATTTGATTAGTTCCCTCATCTTATTTGACCTCTAGAGTCTGAATAGTAAATTAAAGCTATGATAATAAAATCATACTAAGGCCAATTTTAGAGTTGACTTAAGGAAAGTTCTGAAGTATATGACTACTCTCTCTTCCAGAGTTCTTACCCCATTTAGTGAAGCACTTGCTTTGGACATTTCAATTCGATTGGTAAAATCAGACTGCAGGTTCTGATACTGATTTATCAAGTTTGTAATAAGGGTGCTGATCAAGTTGGCACAATTTGCTTCAGAAAACACTTGACCTTGAACCTAGAAAAAAGAGATAAAGAAAAAAATCTCCACAAGACTAACATAATGAAAACACAACCATTAACTAACCAAGTAATATACTGAGTTTTCAAAGTACAACATACCTTTAAAAGGAAATGAGTCATGAATGTGTAGACAATGTTGTTGTTTAAGAAAGTTCTTTCATCCATTAGGATACATTTAATATACTCTGCAAAAACTGGATCTTCACACAAAAGCTTGATGCAATTTTTTGACAGAGCAGACTAAAGTGGGGAGAAGAAGTACTGGTGGGTAAGCACTGAAACCACTGAAAACCTTAAACACAACCACTTACGATGTACACCTGGAGTCTGTAAGTCCTACTGGAAAAGCCACTTTTATCTCAGTCTGCTAAACTTTCAGTTATAGCAACTGTCCCCCCAATCAATAAAATAGTAAGTTGGACTACGTGAGTGCTACAGGAAGAAACTTATAAAAGTCTGAATGGCAAAACTGAGTAATCGTTTTCTTTAAAAAAGTGGAGCTTTATTATCTAGAATTAAGAGACTGGACAAATAGAATGTTTTTAGGGGACCAATTAATGGATATTAATAGGTAACCAAAGCACACATAGAAAAAATTTAAGAATTAACTTTATTCTCTAAAAAGAGTTAAAACTTTTACTGTATGATCTCATTAGCAGTAATTCATTTGTTAAAATCTTTTCCCCTCATGATAGTGCAGAGGTAAACAGCAAACCTCTTTTCCTAACTGCATCACACAGAGAATTAGTGGGTCCAATATATTGAAATTTTACTAAAATTTGGTTTTCCTGTTTTCAAATAAATGGTCGTGGCTCTTAAACACAAGTAGTATGTCTTTAAATAGATACATTCCCTAGATTACTTAGATGAGTTTTACTAATAGATCATTTACATGGAAGAAAACCCAGACTGTTTAAAAAATAGGACAAACATTTAGATAATATGCACATTATCTACTTAAATGTTTTATTACAGTAAACTCTGTAAGTAAAATGCTCAAGGTCACCCAAGAAATTAGAGGAGTTGAGTAGGACCAGGACCCAGGTCTTCAGATTATTGGTGTCAGAAAAATATGCTTTATTCTGCCAATCATAGCCTCTGTCTACTGCCTGTGTTTCTTGCACAGGATGGCTGGCAGGGGCTTTGGAAGCCACAGTTGGGTTGGTATCGTTTTGATTTAAGGGAAGGTGGAGGGGAGGATGGTGAATTCTGTGGGGGGGAAAGCCACATAAAGGGAGTAGTAGAGTGCAGAGCAATAGGGAAGCAGTAGGATGTGGCAGACTACAGGAATACTCCCCATCCCCTAAAATAAAGCGACCACCCAAATCAAGAAGATCAGCAACAGAGAGGGTAAAAGCAGGCATCTGCTTCAATTTACTGAATAGACCACTCAGTTCAAAAATCAACGAGCAAGTCATATTCTGAATGTCTACTAAATATTAAATCATGTGATCAATGTATCTAGCCTTTCAAAGATTCCTACTATAGAAAACAAAATGACATTTCTTCAGGAAACAGATGACTGAGATAAAGTCTCTACATTTGAGAAGCTCACAGTGTGAGACAAGGAGATAGAGAAACAACTACTACAGTACCAAGTGATGCATCCACTAGGAGAATATACAGATCACTACAGTCTGGGCAGGAGGCTGGACCAGACTCAGTCAGATACTATAATGTGGGTAAAGGTTTATTCTTTTTATTTGATTTTTTAAAAAAGTCCTCACCTGAGGATGTTTTATTGATTTGAGAGAGAGAGAGAGGAAGGGGGAC